GATAGATAGATAGATAGATAGATAGATAGATAGATAGATAGATAGATTCACACATTAGATGATAGATTCACCCAATAGCTGACAGATATGATTCACAGATACATAGGTGCATAGATACATAGATAGATATTGAGTTTTAGACAATAACTTTTCAGCTATGCAGGAGCCTTGCTCCATAATTCTAACATCCAGGAAGCTGAGGTAGGAGGACTTTTGCAGGACTGAGGTGCATAGGGAGAATGTATCAAAAAGAAAAGTAAGAGTGTTTGGCCAATGCCATGGAAACAAGGAAACAGGAATTAGGATGGCCCACAGCCACAACAAATAGATTTCATGTTATGGTTCAGCCAGCAACACATCCATTCAGTTCTAATTTACACATTTCAATTTAAGCCTTATGAACTAGGGTCAATTCATGGTATTAGTAACAGTTCTGGGGCTTCTGACAGCAGTGACATTTTAGAGAAAGAAATGCCAGCGCACGCCTGGAAGAGATCGACATTTGATCCTGCGTGTTGTTGCTAACACACGTGAGTGCTAATGGCTCCGTTTCTGTTTTGCTTCTGCCATGAAAATAATAATAATAATAAGTCTAGTTAGTCCCCTTTGTCGTCAGCTTTACGTGGTTTCGTTCCTAATAACTCTTTGGTCATTATCAGGATTACTTAAATACTTGAATGGAGGAACAATTAAAGCCTCTCCTGAAACCCTAGTCCAGCGGTAGATCTAGGGTTACTTCCTTGGGTAACACACTCCGCTGTATCGAGTCGGGGGAGGGTTGTCTGCGGGGGCTAGAGAGGTGCTTGTAGTAAGCACAAGCTGAGGAGACAGGCACCGAGGGAGCATGAGGAGATGGACGGAAAGTCTTGAGTTAGAGTGTATGGAGCAGGCCACTGCCTGGTGTCTGAAAGATGTCCACTTGCCCTACGGTTGCCCAGAGCCCCCGGGGGATGATCTTCACTCACTAGCATGCCTGGATGGTTCAAAAAGGCGTGGTACGGGCTGGCTTCTCTGCTCAGCTTTTCTTCCTTCCTCCTGATCATCGTTGCCTTGGCTGTGCCCCATTGGTTGAGCGGGAAAATCCTATGTCAGACTGGAGTGGATTTGGTCAATGCCACAGACCCAGAACTGGTCAAATTCATTGGGGATATTTACTACGGGCTCTTCCGAGGCTGTAAAGTACGACAATGTGGGCTCGGAGGCCGCCAGTCCCAATTTACAAGTGAGTATGTGGGGGTGTGCAAACTGATGTGTGCACTTTCTTGTTTTGCCAGGGTGCTTGGGTCTAAAAGTGGGATTTGACTATCGCCTGTCTAAACATCACTCTAGGCAGCCACCAGCTCCTGTGTAGCAATGCAAAGCGAATTTTCTAAATGAGACGAACAAAACTATGAAGACTAAGGATTTGTATATTTTGTCTTTTACTTCTAGTAATAATGACTAGTAAAATATCAAGTGTTCACGTGCCAGCCATCCCACTAGAAGCTGCACATTGCCTGACTCCTTTAAGCTTTACAACATACTTAACAGTGAAACCATCATAACAGATGCCAGACCTATGCCATGTGACCCTAGTGGTCTTAACCACAGCAGTGCACAGGTGCAGACTGCCTGCAGAAGGCGACCTCTGGGAAACATGGCAACTGCTCCCACATCCATGTGTATGAAAGCTTCATAGCCTGAGGAACAGTGGGGGGACTTTGCTGGGAGAATACTCCTGGGGTTAGAAGAGCAACTGACACATTTCCTGGCAGGGAGACTGGGGGAGGCACGTGAGGTCTTAAAGATGCACAGCCAGCAGAACTGGCCTGAGTTCAGAGCTCCCTCGGAGGTAAACAGAGTAGTCCCGTGAAGTCTTAAGGCAGGAGTCCAAAACAAGGCTTGGGAAAGATCTTCTGAGGAAGAGAAAACAGAACAAGCGAGACAATATTCTTCAGCCTTTAGAATTAAACAAGTAAGAACTGTCAAACTAGTAGGAAGTGTCAAACTAGAATCAAACTAGTAAGAAGTGTCCTATAAAACTATAGTTAATCAACGGCTTGTTATTCAGA